TCTTTCAGCAACTTCACTCCAGTGTTCGGACAGGGAACCTGGAGACCTGCCTTAGACTCTTGTCGTTAGGAGCGCAGGCCAACTTCTTCCACTCTGTAAGACCAGAAGAATAAGAGGAAAAAAAATACACTGTATGTTTCAAATATCATTTTCTTTCAAACTGAAACTGTGTTTGTTGTGACTTTAGGAAAAAGGAAACACTCCATTACACATTGCAGCAAAAGCAGGTCAAATTCTGCAGGCTGAGTTGTTGGCAGTTTATGGAGCTGATCCTGGAGCTCTGGACTCAAGTGGAAAGACCCCCATTAATTATGCACGGTAAAACGAGGCCTACGTTTTAACTTATCACCATTTATTGTTTTCATTGTCATTTTCTAAAGGATTTTTAATGTCTATTTAGATGCAGTGTAGTAGCACAATAATGTTACGCTATAAACTACTTTATTTGTATACAGTTATATACTGTAAGGTGCTGTCTCACTGTTTGAGCACTAAAGTGTAATTTGTATAATACTTGGCTGGGGACCAGGTCACCTATTACCCTACAGGTTTCTGATGAGCTCAGAGGAATTGATACTTTAAAAATTCATCACTTTTGTTTTTTAGTAGAAATTAATTTAACCTGCAGTTCAGCTGAAATCGTCATTCGTTCAGTGTGTGACAGGAAATGATACACATCCTATGAAGACTGGACTTGCCTTAAAAGATGAGTTAAGAACAAAAAGGGTGTGAATGTTTCTGTTTAGTCTCTAGTTTAAAGAGTTTCCTGTGAACCAAACGGTTCTCTGGTAGATGGTAATTTATATGATCACATCATCAGATGCGTTTAAAACTTAAGTTTTATAAAGCGTTTTCTTCGTCTGTGGTCACAAATTTAGCATATATAGAGATATGGAAGGACAGGAGTGACAAAGATTAATCTATTAAAAGAAAATATTGTTATGCGTGTTCGTTACCAGGATGTGTGCTTAAACCATACGGAGAATGTACAAATGCATGGAAAAGATCATTAAAGAGAAACCATACAAAACCAAAAGAGCGCTCTGCTGAAGTCAAATTTAATCAAGTGACCAAAAGTTCAGACTGAAAACAGGGAAGTGCATTGTATTTAACAAAAGCTCTGAGGCGTGGCTCTGCCTGTCTGATTACGTCATCAGTGAGGGGTCCCTAAGCTTCTCGAAGCCACGCCCCCAGACATAATAATCTACCCTAATGAAGATTTAAAAGTTCAGTTATGTGTTGAGTTTGTTTTCAGGCATGCAGCTATTAATACAAAATCATCAAATTAAGCAAAACAGTCAGATTTAACAATCATTACAGGTCTATCAAGACTATACCATTTGTATGTAATTTAAATCAGTTATATAAACCTAAAGCCTAATAATTTATTCACTATGGTACTCATTGGCCATTCCCTGGCTCCACCATTCCACCTGGTGTAGATAAAATTGCCAATTCCCTCAGGGATGGGGAACACCACTTGTTATTTTGGGTACTGGAGAAGACAACAATTTTGTGTACAAAAAAGGCAGCAAAATAAATATTAAGCAACATACGTCCTGTTTTTTGCATACAAAAAGTGATGTAAATTGTAAAAAAAACTGAGTCACTTTCTATCGCAGTATGATGAGATAATGATGAATAATTTGAATCCCCGCAGACAAGCTGGGCACAACGAGCTTGCAGAGAGGCTGGTGGAGATCCAATATGAACTCACAGATCGGCTGGCTTTTTACCTTTGTGGCAGAAGACCAGGTAAGTTCTGGAAGGTTCTTCACTTGTTCAGTTCCACACCTGCTGCTTGATTTGGACACTAAATGTTTTTGTCCTTTTATGGAAGTCCATTTGTTTTGCTTTTGTTGTGTTTTAGATCACAGAAATGGGCAACACTTCATCACTCCACAAATGACAGACAGGTAATAGCTGCTTTATACACTATTTTTTATATATTTCTACCTCGGCTGCATAGATTGAAGTCTTTAAATTCCCATTTAAAAATATCATTTCTGCAAGTCACTTAAATTAAAATATATTTAATTTTATTGTAAAATATATGAGACATTCATTGGGTAATTACAATCCTAATTTCCCCTGTGCTTCATTGGATGAATAAGAAATAAGTAAGTATGTTTGTTATTTTTTACACCTCCTTGTTGATTCTGACTTTTATCATTTGAAAAAGTAAAACATGAGATTTTGTTTTTTTCCGAAGCAGCCTCGATTTGTCAGATTTTGCAAAAGCTGCAAAGAAGAAGCTGCAGTCGGTGAGAGAATATTAGATATGTTATATTTCTAACCTGTTATACAAAACTTAAACTGGATCAGTAATGTATCTTGGTTTATTGTAGTTGAGCAACCATCAGTTTGAAGAACTTGCCATGGATGTTTACGATGAGGTGGACAGAAGGGAAACGGACGCAGGTAGAACTGCAAAACTTGTTAAAACTATACAGTATTGTGATGTTTGTTTTAATCTGTATTTAACACTTTTCTAACTTTAAATGTGACTTGCCTTATTTTCAGTGTGGTTGGCCACTCAGAATCACAGCACACTTGTCACAGAAACCACAGTTGTGCCTTTTCTGCCAGTCAATCCTGAGTATTCATCTACCAGGAACCAGGCAAGTGACTGCAACCACTGGATCTCCATATTCAAATGTATTTGCATCAGTAGGTCATTTTGATAGCTGAGCTTTATGTGATGGTATTTTTTTGTTCTTTCAGGGTCGTCAGAAACTGGCCCGGTTCAGCGCTCGAGAATTTGCCACCCTTGTGATTGATATTCTAGCAGATGCTAAACGACGACTGTGGGGTAATTCATGTGAAAGTCCGAAAGGTATGATTTTTATTTCTGACTCTCAGTCTTCTTATTCAGATATTTTTGTGTTTGAGTGCCGTTTTTGTATTGAAGTAAAAATACTCAAAGTCTGCAATTTTGCAACACAAACATGGACTATGTAGGAGAAAATATATTTTGGAGTTGTTTGCAAATAATAAAGAAGAGCTCTTATTTTTTGGAGCCAGTAAATTAAACAAAACAATTGTCCTCGACGTCTGGATGTAAACCTCTTCCTTGTAGGTAATTTGTTGATCCTTTGGTTTGCTATCAGAAAACGTGGAGCTGATCTTCCAAGGAATAGACAGTCGACACAACAGTGAGAGCCAAGACAACGACCAGCCGGATTATGACAGCGTGGCGTCGGATGAAGATCCTGCGCAGGAGGCCACGTGTGGGGACAGCTGCACCGATGGAAGGACAAAGGTTCATCTTTCAAAACAAAACTGTGATTAGACTCCGACTCAGCTTCTTGCTCAACCTCTTAAACCGATCAAATATATTTTTTTGTCTCAGAGCTCCGAGTCTTCTGACCTGTCTGATGGACCAATCACAGTGCAGGAATTTATGGAGGTGAAGAGTGCCCTGAATGCATCAGAAGCCAAAATACAACAGCTTCTCAAAGTCAACTGTCATCTAAGTGAAGAGCTGCGGTTGATGCAGAGCAAGGTTGGTTAAATTACACGCTGGTAATTAATAATGCAGTTTGAGGTTATTTTGCACTTGAAATACTGCAGTTATATCCTCTTTGAACATTGATTGGTTGATCTGAAGTTGTTTTATTACTCAAATTCTACATTTTAAAAGCTATTTTGTTCTGTTTGTTAGCTTTTCTTGTGCAGAAAATGTACTAAACTTTGAGCTAAAAACAACCAGAACCACTGATGTGTTCATAATAGGGTGGATTTTCTAAAGTCAGTTATTTTTACATTGAACTTTTACACAGATATGTTTGATTTTACACATATGCTATTGTGAAAACCAGGCTGGCATCCGCTCTATAAAGCAAAACATTCCTCTTTTTAGCCAAACTGTTGATTTTGGTTTTCTAAAATGTAAATGTCATTACAAAATTTTATACTTTTATTGGTATGTCAAAGAGTAAAAATATAGTTTTTTTGTTTATTTTATTAATTTTTTTGCCTGAATAGGACCAAATTTGGAAATATAAATGTAGGAAACTGAAATTCACCTTTTTGTTTTTTTAAGTAAAAAACATATTGATTCATTTCTCACGTGTCTGTGCAGCCATCAGCTATAAACCACTTAAATGTTGCAGAGATTAATGCTTTAGTGTAAGTGGCATGAGTTTATTTAATAGCGTGCACATTTAATTAACTAATGGACAGAATGTGGATGTTTAAAAATGCTACCTAATGCATATGTAGCATTAGTTTTCCCTGAATGCCTCAGAACAGCTCAGTTTCTCTTTGCTTTGAATTCAGACTAATGTCTCCACCTGCTGGTTTATTAGGTTCATAATGTCCTTTATTCATGGACCAACCCAAACATCTACTGAATTATATTTACCAAGCCAGCAGATTATCAATGATTTTCCACGACATTGTTGCAAGAATAAATAAGCAAAAGATGAAACTTTCAACAACACATTTAAAATTCAAATGGCCTGTTTACCACCATAAGCATCAGTCCTTGTGGTTTCATTTAGAACCTCATTTTGTCTGATCTCCTACATTCATTTTTGACTTGACACAAAAATACAAAGTTGTTCAGAAAACGGTTTGTTATTGCTCTTGTTATAAATGAGGGCAGCCACGTTCAGGACTTGTGTTCCCCAGGAGATCTCCCTGGGAGAGTCCCTGTCAACAAACCGTGTCAGCTGTTCTTTTTGTCAAGGAAACAAAACTCTGTGAAAGACTACAAAGAGTAAACAAAGCGAATCTGAGATGAAAGCGAGCTCGGTTTTGTGGAGCCGCTTTTCACCTGGAGGCTCATTTGTGCCTCTCCTCCTCCCCTTGCTTGGACTGAGTTGACATGTTTTGTTTATAATCTGCAGCTGAGCTCCCTGCAGACTGAAAACACAACGCTGCGATGGCAAGCCCCCGGAGGACAACAACAACCCCAGGGGCCCTTTGGCCGGCATCCGGCCCGCGGAGGCCGCGCCATGTCCATGTACGAGACGGGCTCCGCTCCGAGGCAGTACCCCCACCGGGTCGAAGCGGCTCGCCACGAAGACGGAGTCATCTTACAGCCCTTCCCTACCAACGTAAGCACAAACGCCTCAGTGATGTTTCGCCTCATGGTGGTTTAAAGTGACGGCGCTCGGCTTGGGGCTGGTGGTGTTTTCATTTAGTCATTCAATGATTTACTGCATCTCAACAGTTTGTATGCTCAACCCGGTTTGACCCCTTTCTAGATTGGTAGAGGTCCTTTGGGGACAGCTGCCTCCTCCCTTCCTACCTTCCCCTCTCCCCTGTCCTGGTCGTGGGATGAGAGATCTCGAAGGGTTGAGTACTGAAAGACCCCTCGGCTCAGAGGCAGCCCCAGGGGGAAAAAAAAACTATCCTCTTGCTTTGAGCCCATGGTCTTTTTCCTCCAGACCTTGTGCCTCTGAACTGCTTTTTGTCAGTACTGCCTGCATGCATGTACCACGGCCTATCTGTTGGCACCTGAAGAGCTGCTATGATAAAATGTTGCACCCATGTTGTTTGAGTGGTCACTGCAGCAATTTGTGAAAAATGATGGCACAGATGCTTTTCGTGATTGACGCTGACGGAAAAAAATGAATCTATTCCATCTGTTTGCATCTGCTGCACCACAAACTTGGTTTGCTCTTCTTTTTCTCTGCGATGGCTTTAAAACAAAAATATCTCAATTTCAGAAGCATGACTCTGATTTAAATGTGTCGACTGTGATGTGTGCGCTAACCGTATATATTTGACTGATCTTAATCCACTGATGTTCCTGTAGGGCTGCAGTCTTGGAGGGCAGAGCACGATGTTGGAGAATGACTATGACACAACACCCAGTCACTCCGAGCAGGAGGACACTGGGTAAGAAAGATCAGGCAATAGGCTTTTCTTTGGTGCCTTTTTTTTAAAATAAAACAACTTGGTTGTGCGTCAGTTCAACATTCAGGGAGTTGATTTCAGATCAGGGAAAGAAACGCTTTTAACTACATACATCCTGTTTCTAAGATTCACTTTAGTTATTTAATGTTATTTTCTATGTGCTTGCATTTCTAGCAGCCCTCTTACAGCCCCAGAAACAGTGGAACCAGAGGAGGAAGGTGAAGAAGACGCCACCCTGCCTTGCACCGAGGACGTTATCTGTAAAACCGAGCAGATCACTAAAAACATCCAGGAACTTCTTAGAGCTGCTCAGGAGACCAAACACGAAAGGTACTGCATGTGATCAGTCCGTTCTTTTCATGTTCCAATGCTGCGAACCTCAGGTTGAAAAGGCCCTGTAACACTAGACAACTTATGCCAACTTGTGAACATTTTAAAGACATCTACACTCACCGGCCACTTTATTAGGTACACCTGTCCAACTGCTCGTTAACACTTAATTTCTAATCAGCCAATCACATGGCGGCAACTCAGTGCATTTAGGCATGTAGACATGGTCAAGACAATCTCCTGCAGTTCAAACCGAGCATCAGTATAGGGAAGGTGATGTGAGTGCCTTTGAACGTGGCATGGTTGTTGGTGCCAGAAGGGCTGGTCTGAGTATTTCAGAAACTGCTGATC